TATGATATTAAAAAACATTTTCTAGTAGGTGTATTCTGTGATTATACATTATTCAATCTATTTTTAAAAATAGAACAAGATATTACCCATTTTGCATTAATTTATTTACAAAATACGATAGCTTTGAACTTGGACATAGAAAGTGGCTGTGTTTTTACATCATGTGCAGTTAGACTAGTAATTGCTGTAAGTTCATCATTTCCAGAGAAGTGATTAGTGCCATTTTACTGGAGCTACTCCTTTTGTTTTCATTCATTCATTGTATAGAGTTAACAACACTAAAATATTAAAGAATATATTCATCCTTTCTCTCATTGTCTGTCTAAGTTTAATATCCAGATGCTTGTTTAAAAATAATTTTCTAAGGGCTCAATGCATCACTGTTTCCTGCTGTGTTTTTATGTTTGTTTGTTTGTTTGTATTTCGTTTTACTGTCGTGTTCCCTTCTGAAGAGAATAATGTTTGTCCTCCAACACATAATGTATTGGATATGCTATTCTGTGAGCCTGATAGAATTTCACTTTCTAATATTGTCTGTTCATGAGCTGTTAAATATTCATTATGTTAATTTAATGAGGCTTTCCTTCAGTCCTGGATACATACATGGTTACTGGACTCATGGGACTGAAGGAATCTTGAGAGATGACCTAGTCATAGTCCATTCCCTTCCTTCTAGATCAGTTTATGCCTAAAAATTTCTCTGATAGATGATTGTTCATTTCTTTCCAAAAATAGTCACATTTTTTTATAGCCAGAAATTTCTTCTTAAATTCTCTTTTAAGTAAATTTATATTATCTGATCCTTAATATAATTGCTTTCAGTTCAATCTCATCCACATCCCATCTCTAGGTATTTCTTATGCCTCCTCTTCCTCATTTATTCTTAGCCATTAACAATGGTTAATGCATTACAAAATTTCCTTTTCATTTCACGTATTCCTAATAAGTGTCTGCCGTTGGTCTGATTACGGCTGTGTGGTCCCATCTGAGAGTGCTTGACCCTCGCTCAGGGGCCTTCCTTGTGCGTTGCCAGTACTGCCTTGCTCGCATGGTGAGACCTGCGCTTGCCTTATTACATCATCACTGTGCATGTGCCTCCCCTCCACTTCATCCTCTCAGCCCCTTCTCCAGCTTAAGTTATCATTTGTCTTGCAGCCAAAGTTCCATCTTTGAAATTGCAGAAGGTACCCTGCCAGTAATTAAAGGTTGTGGACTTCCTTTTTATATGATTTGACCCTAATAGCGATTTGCTGAAATAGATTTAACAGTATATGTTCCTCCCTGATAGTATTACTCAGGCCTCCTCCACAAAAATTATAATGATGTTTCTAATCCTGCCAAGTAAAATTAAAATCAACTAAGACAAACACATTCAAAATGAGAAAGTATTTTTATGGCAAATACCATCATTAATGCAAAAATGAGCTTAAGAGGAAGATAGCTTACTTGAAAATCTCCCATGTAAAAAACGTTAGCTGGTCAAACTAGAATAAATTCCTTAAGTAAAATTGTAGAATTTACTGTTTTGGGGTTTTCTGCTTCCAAGTGAGAGCACTGTAGATAAGCACTGGATCCCAAGGTCGGTTTGAACAGAAAGGTCAATGGTTCAAATTCACCATCCACTCCTTGGAAACACTATTACAGGGTCACTGTGAGTCAGAACTGACTCCACAGCACCTAACAGTGTAGGGTTTCAGAAGCTGTAGATCTCTACAGGAGAAGAAAGCTTCATTTTTCTCCTGTGGAACAACTGATAGATTTGAACTGGTGACCTTGTGGTTTGCAGCCCAACTCATAATTCACTACACTACCAAGCTGTGGGAGCAGAATAGATCTTATTTATATGGAGTGGTTACAAGTTGGACTGCTAATCACAAGGTCAGCACTTTGAATCTACTTGCTACTCTGTAGGAGAAAGATGAGACTTTCTACTTCTGTAAAGATGTACTGCCTTAGAAAACCTATACTGGGTCACTACGAGTCAGAAGTGACTCGACGGCCCAGCACCACCACCACCACCACAGTAAAAGGCAGCCCTGGTGTGGTGCTGTACGAGAAGCACTGGACTGCTAACCACAAGGTTGGTGGTTCAAACTCACCAACTGCTCCTTGGAAAGCCTATGCAGGGTCGATATGAACTCTGTTATAAGAACTGACTCGGCAGCACTTAATGAAAGCATAGTAAAAGGAGTCCTGGTGTGGCACTGTAGGGTAAGCACTGGATGGCTAACGGCAAGGCCGGTGGTTCAAACCCCCCAACTGCTCCTCAGAAGCCCTATACAGAGTCAATATGAGTCAGAATTGACTCGAGGGCTCTGGACAGCAGTAGAGTAAAAGGTGGGGGCCACATTCATGGTTGAGTGGTAGAATTCCTCTTCCATGTGAGGCTTGGGCTCCTGGTGTAGCACTGTAGGATCAGCACTGGACTGCAAACCACAAGGTCAGCAGTTCAAGCCCACCAGCTGCTCCTTAGAAACCCTATACAGGGTTGCTATGAGTCAGAACCAACTCAGTGGCACTTGCAACAGTGACAACAACATGAGCCTCGGTTTTGATTCCTAGCAGCCACCATCAGTCAGTAAACATTTAGGTGTTCTGTTTCTGAATGGCTTTCAGCAGAGCTTCAGGACTAGAAGGCACTAGCAAGAAGGGCCGGGTGATCTTCTGAAAATAGATCACAAGGGTCTTTCTTATCTGTGACAACAGCTCACAACAATCACAATATTTAAAGAGCTATCAGACTTTGTAATCAAAGAAATCATCGTTGTCTCTGCGGTAAGACTATAAAGCAGTAAGTCATATAGGAAAATTGGTTTCATTATTTTATAGATAAGCACAAAGAAAAATGTTAGAATTCATGTTGGAAGCAAGCAGTATGTCTTCCTTCTGACAGCCTGTTTATCTGATCATGCAGCCTTCACGGATGGTCAGAGGACTGCATATCACTCATACCGCTTGCATGCCAGACTGACACGTTATGTTAGTCTTCATACCAATACATACTTGTAAAGAAATGCCTTAGGTCTCAAATTTGTTATGGTCATCACTCCTCTCTTCTGAGGATTTTCCTAACTCAAATTTTCAAATCCTAGAACTCCTTTACAATGCGCATTTCCTTCTGGTTCATCACTAAGTAAATGTTACAAAAGCTTTCAGCAGAACTTCTCTAAGTCCTGATGTCTAAAAGGGTATGTAACAGCTTGTTTGAAATCTCTAAATTTGCTTTAGATCCCTAAATTTCAGAGGATTCTGTAGACAATGTGAATAGAGATATTTTCTTGGTTTCCTGACTCTTCATAAGGCAAGAGATTGCTGCTGATATTTGTGCCATCCATGTTTTCTGGGGGGAAAAAAAAATCACATTTTATATATATATATATATTTATATGAGAGATTTGAATTAATTTCCAGTATATTTACAGACATACTCTTTAAAACAGAAAACTAATTAAATATTTGCACACATTTCCCATTTTTTTCTTAAATCAATCATGTCAAAATCCGAATAGTTAAATGAGTATGGTGTGTACATTGGATAAACAGTCACGAGCAATCAAGGAACTATAATAGTTAATGAGAACTAATTAGAAAAATAGAGTCCTTGTGTGGTGTCATAGGGTAAGCACTGGACTGCTAATGGCAAGAGCAGCGGTTCAAACCCACCAGCCACTCATTTCTTGAATTTCCATTTTGTTTGGAAACAGAATTCTTAACCAATGGCATAATTTGGAAAACAGACTTTGAAGAAGGTGACCCAGGAAGTTGAGCCATTAAGAATAATGCAATAGTATACATTTTTTGTTGTCATATTGTTACTTTGATGAAAAATAACCAAAGGAAAAAAAATGTAAACTTATGATGTAGGATATGCAGTGGACTGCTAACTATAATGTTGGTGGTTCAAACCCACCAGCTGTTCCTCAGAAACCCTATACAGGGTCGCTATGAACCAGAACGGACTCAACAGCACTTAACAACAATATATATATATATAAAAAGAGAGAGAGTGAGTGAGTCTTGGTATAGAGCCATAGGATAAATACTAGACAACTAGCCACAAGAGAGAGAGAGAAAGAGTGAGTCTTGGTATAGAGCCATAGGATAAATACTAGACAACTAGCCACAAGGTTGGCAGTTCAAACCCACCAGCTGCTCCTCTGACACCCTATAAGGATCACTATGATTCAGAACCGACTTGCCAGCACTCAATTGCAACAATAAGATAGAGCAAGCAGAGTCAGAAAGGCAGCTCTTCAGACTCGGTAACTGTAAAAACTGGCATCTTTTCAAAGGCACGGTCACTACTGCAGTCACCCTGCAGTTAAACTAATATCACCTGATTTGCGTACTGAGGTTTAAAAATTTGATTGGAGTGTCTTAAAAGTGAATCATGTAATCCAAAGCTGCTCCTCACTCTCACAGATAACTGCTTAGCTCAAGGGCAACTTGGACGAACTTCAGCAGCAGTGGGAAAGGAGGTGGCTACGACAACTACGCAAAAGGGGCATATTGTCAGCTGCTGTGTTTTCTGAGCACAACATGGACTAGATGTCCTCCTGCCTGCCCAAAGAGGCAGAGGGGAGACACAAAACTTGCTATTCACATGCACTTAGAGGACTGGGGTGAGATTTTGCTTTACATACTCTCTGAAGAATCAAAGACCTCCAAAATTAGAATACATACTTTGATGTTTTCTGTTTGGGCTAGTAATAAGAATGCTGCTATACACTGTCGATATCTGTTTTCATGTTGTATAAGAAAAGCATTTCTCAGTCCAAAACCTAGAAAAAGATAACAAAGACAAAAAGCCAAATCATTTCATATGAAATCCAGTTTTCTTCTCAGAACCTGGTTTTTCTCTTTCTTTTAATGAGTGCAGGAGGTTTACATAGATTACAAAACAACTGGAGCAAAACATAATGCCTTCTGATTCCTAGGCCAAGACTGCACTCCATTCAGATAGACCCACTTAAACATGAAAACCCTTCCTTTCTTCACTAACTGTTTCTGGGGTTTGATGAAATGCAATTACAGGTTACGTGATGGAAAATGGGCCTCTCATAGAACAAGCTGAGTATACGAAGTAGAGATTTCTGTTGGAAACAGATTACAAAAATATGTAAAATAAGGTAATGCTCCTTTTTTGTCACCCACCACTCCTTTTTAAATGCTTTATGTTTGTATTGAAAAAGTAATCACATAAATGGTTTACAAACAAATTAAGTAGCGAAAATACAAGCCCACCTGCATGTTTCACAACAGGCCAAGAAAAGCCAAAAAGAAATGCAGTCAAATTCAGCATCCACCAAATTATGTGAAAGAGGAAAACAAAACAAAAAGAAACCATGTTGGCATGGCTTCTCTGTGTTTCAAAAGAAACAGACTGCATGTCTGTGCTCTGTTATTCCCTAGCTGGTCTCTTTTTAAAAAAATGACAGGTGATATATAGAGAGCAGATTCCTTAAAAAATAAAATAAATACAGCTGGTAAAATGAAAGCTGCTTGAATTATTAATACAATATGGAGAATACAATCCTGCAACTTATATAGTCTTTCTGCTGTTGGTGTATGTTTAGAAACAAAACAGGATTGGTAACATCAACTACTACAGTGAGGATGAGGCGAGCAGCTAGCTGGTAATTAAACGGATGCTGTCTCTTATCATTATTTTGATTTGTCTAAGTCTGTGAGTTTAACCAGACTTATCCAAAGCACGTTAGGACTCATTTCAGAAGCAAAGTGAATGCAAGACTTGTCTTAACTGCAAAAATGCTCACTATCACAGATTTTACTTTACACTCTAAATTACATAATACCTAAATTCTACTACAACACACAAAGCATATTAAGGTCACAAAATTCTGTCTAGTTTCTCTGGGGCTAGGGGACCTGAGCTTACTAAAGTGGATCTCTGCAAAAAAGATAAGGCTGTGTATCTTTTATGGCCTGATTTTTCTCCTTATAAATTCCTTGTAGCAAGGGAGACTTTAAAGATCAGGTGGCTGCTCTTGGCTGGTTTTCTAAATCCATTGTGACTGTAGTTCTGTTATTCAAAGCATAACTCATCTGGGTGTATGTGTGTGTGAGAGAGAGAGAGAGAAAGAGAAATATGGGTACATGGGATGTATTAGCAAAAAGGTCTGCTATGGCTGTGCCTGTGTATAGTAAGGCAATAAAGTATGAGTGAAAGTTAAAAAGTGTTGCTTTTTTATATAAGCACAGGTTTATACCAAACAAAGTGTGTTTAAGTGTGTGTCTGCTGCCAATGGGTGGCTGCAGATAAGTCCTTTCAGTGCTACACTTGTGTTAGTCTTGTTAGGGAGGGTGCCTTTCAAAGAAAATCAAATCCACACAGTGACTTTAAGGGATGCTTCTGAGCCAGAGAAATTCAAGGTGGAAAAGTCAACCCAGAAGGTTTTGGTGAGTATGCTTTGGTGTGGCGCTGGACTGCAAGGTCAATTTGAACTGACTCCACAGCACTGTACAACAAGAAGAGGTAACCTGGAGTCGTTGTGTAGTGCTGTAGGGGAAGCACGGGATTACTAACCACAAGATTGGCAGTCAAACTCACTAGCTGCTGCTTGGAAACCCTTTACAGGGTCACTATGAGTTGGAACCAACTAGACGTCACTTATCAACAACATCAAGGAGTAACCTTGATAAATTTTCTCGAAGAACAAGGTATGGTCACTGGGGCTTGTTCGGAAGAAGTTCCAAGAAAACTGAGGATTTCTTTTACACACCATGACAATGCACCTATTCATTGTTTGGGGCTAGCAAGGGCTATACTACAAGAATTTTGTTGGGAAGACTCCCATCCATCCTACAGTCCTGATCTTGCCCCTTCAGACTTCTTTTTGTTCCCCAAATTCAACATGATTTGAGTCCCTCAAGAAAATCAAAGGGGTTCAGTGGGGCACTATAGGATAAGCATTAACTGCTGACTGCAAGGTGCGTGGTTTAAACGCACCAGCCGCTCCTTGGAAACCCTATACAGGGTTGGAACCATGGCACTTAACAACAGAATGCCAAAACTTGAGTTTTCAGGGAAGGGTTAGAGATGGAAATACTGCCTTCAGAAGTATATAGACCTAGATGCAGGATTTGTCAAGAAATAATAGCTTTACCTTTTGATTTTATCTGTTTAATAAATATGGCTCGTGTTTTGTAGCAGTCATTTTTGACTTAGCCTCAGATGGACATGAATAGCTTTCCCTCCTGACATTCGAATATGATCATTGATATTTATGTACTGGCACTAGAGTATTTTTGTCTTCATTTTGTATGATTTAAACTGCATGTTGTTAAGTGCTGTTGAGTCGGATCCGACCCATAGTGACCCTATACAGGGTGTCCGAAGAGCAACTGGTGAGCTTGAACCACCGACCTTGCAGTTCAAACGGCTTTGCAGTCCAGCGCATTAACCCACAGCACTTATCCACATAGCAGCTCTATAAATCTGCTAATCCCCACTTTACAAATGAGAAATAGATTTAGTCTAACTTGCCCAAGTCTCAAAACTCACAGATGACATGGCCAAAATTAGAAAGTAGGTCTTTATCACTCCAAAATTCCATCTCTGACTCATACATTGTATGTGAACAGTCAGAATGGGAACTAGGAGGTAGCAGTTACAAATTGGAACTAAAGTTTTTTGTTTTGTTTTTCTTAATGTGGAGTGGGACTATAATTTTTTAAAATACTATTTTCATTCAAAAAATGAACGAGGGAAAGGGATATGCACTTCTCCAGGTAATCTAATGATGTCAGATTTCTTTTTTTTTTACTTTTTTTATTGTGAATTGAGTGAAGGTTTACAGAGCAGATCATCAGTCCTACATTCAACGAATCGTATTCTTCTCAAGTCTAGCTTTTAAAAATGACAGGGCTGTGTTTCTCTATGCAAGATTCTTCAACTATTCCTCATGGGGGTTAGGACATCTTCCTACCCTCAAGTTTATTTATTATGCCAGAATCTTTACACCCATTGTATTGAAAGAAAAAATGTGTATCACGAGAGCCCGTCCACTATGATATTTTTCTATAAGAACACTCAAAAGAAACGGAATGGATTCAGACTCTGCCTACTGACTTCCAGGCCCCACGTACTGATTCCTGGACCACACATACAAGTTTCTGGATCTCTGTATTGAATCTTGGCCTATCTGCACAGCTCTGTTGTGCGTTGAGCAAGGACAGGATCAGTGTACTCAGCAAGCAAAGGTATTTGTTCCCTCATGTTACTCTCTAGGATTGCTCCTGACACTCTAACTTATGCAAACATTCCCACCAAGTCCAGGTGTGGCACACTGGACTATGAGGTCAGCAGTTCAAGCTCACCAGCTGCTCCTTAGAAACCCTATACAAGGTTGCTATGAGGGGGAACAGACTCGAAGGCACTTAACAACAACAAAGTTAAACACAGGAAGCATGCCAATAGCACTTTGGAAATTCCTACTAGACACAGAAAAAACACTGCAAGGCAGACAGTTGTCTTTCTTGAAGAAGGCTTCTTCTCTGTGGAACCCTTGTACTCCTGAGGAGAAACTTCATCAGTTCATGAGTTAATATATGTATTTATAGCTTTGTTTTGTAGCAAACTATATAAATGTTGGAGTCCTGGTGTGGCCCTGTGGGTTAACGTGCCAGACTGCACAGCCATTTGAACTGCAAGGTTGGTGGTTCAAGCTCACCAGCTACTCCTCAGAAACCCCATACAGGGTTGCTATGGGTAGGAACCCACTGGACAGCACTTAACAACAACAGCAACAATATAAATGGCTGCTATTATTATTCATTTTCATACTCATTTAGTCACTCTTTGATGTTGCCCTACTATGGAGTTTTGGGGTGACTGTAGAATAAGAAGTGGACTGCTAACAACAAGGTCAATGGTTCAAAGCAACCAGCCACACCTTGGGAACCTTATACAGGGTCACTATCTGTCAGAACAGACTCTATGGCACTTAACAACAACTATGCCTTGGTGTGGCACTGTAGGAGAAGCACTGGACTGCTAACTACAAGGTCAGCAGTTCAATCCCATCAGTCACTCTCAAAAACCCTATATAGGGTCACTGTGAATCAGAACTGATTCACAATATATAACAAAAACACTGCATAGGGAGACCTGGGACAGGCTAAGCACTGGACTGCTAAGGAAAAGGTGAGCAGTTTGCACCTACCAGCTTCTCTGCATGAGAAAGGTGGAACTACCTGCTTCCATCAAGGAGCCCCAGGGAGCAGCCCTCTGTCAGCATCCGCTCCACAGCAGGAAGCTTGGTTTATGTTAGTGAAGCTCTTGGCTTGTCCACTGGGTTGGGAACTGAGGAGAGTGGTCAGTGCTCCCTCTTAATGGCTCCTCCTGTGGGTAAGAAAGCAGCATCCCATCCCTCTGCCCACCTGGCCTTGGCCAGTCTCAGAGGCAGCAGGGCCACATGGCTGCCTCTCAGAGAATTTACTGATCTCGGATTGCTCTTGGAAGAGCCCTCCCAAGGACAAAGGTGGTTTATCATTCATCTTTGAATCTCCAGTGCTATATAGTATATTTCTATTTATAGATTTACTTCTGCCCTATTTCTACAGAGGAAGTGTGACAAAATAGCTTACATTTGCATCACATGCCCTGTTTTACTTAGTAGCAACAATACTACTAGTTGTTATTGTTGGTGTTAAGTGCCGTTGAATTAGTTCTGACTCGGAGTGACCCTCTACAGAGTTTCTGAGGAGAGGCTAGTGGGTTTGAACTGTCAACCTCCAGCTTAACAGTCCAGTGCTTAACCTACAGCGCCACACCATGACTCCTAATGCTCCAATACTGGTAGTATAGTAGCGATAATGATAGCTGTCGTTAATTGAGTACTTTACAAGCATTCTTTCATTAATTCTCACAATTACCCACTGAAGCAGATACTATTCTCACTAAGTAATCAAGAAGATTCTGTGGCTTACAACATTTTAGTATGTGGCCTAAGATCACATAACTAGCAACTGGCAAGGCTAAGTCATCACAAAGTGAGTGAAAAATACCACAAGATATATTGTTTTTTATGAATATTCAAATTGGAGTCATGTTTATCATCACAGGCCAATATAAAACCCTGTGATGATAAACATAATGGAATGATGAAAGCACACACATACCTGACACATGGAGAGGATCGATATTTTTGACTACCAGTCTATCTAGTGGGATAGGCTGATCGAGTACTGTACAGGAACCACCCTCTTTTATTACTGTTTGTAGTTCAGGAGTAAGTGAAGGACACATTAAGCCAGGGTCTGACCCTCCAAGTTTCTGAAATGGAAGAGGAAAACAATGTAGTCAGGAGACAGTACATCTCAGTGCACATATCTAAAGTGACAGATGACAGAGACAATCATATGAAATCCTGCTTAGTCTTCTTTTGGGATCTTGAAAAACATTTTCTTCAAACACGGTGATTTAAAGCAAAATATTTCCCATCTCCACGTTTAATTACATTAATGAAGTCCATAGTTTGGAGAACTTTTCATTCATTTTCACATCTATGAAAAGAGCTTCATTCATAGTATCTTAATGACTCGAGAGTATTGAGTTACATGAATGAGAATTTTGGCCAAGTCTGCATGGAATCTAATCCTGATCTCTAAATAGATTCCATGATCTAGAATATTACTAAGATTGTTTTGAATATATACGATGCTGATTTCTTTGAAAAGGCTGTAAAAGATTATGATTTATATTGAACATCAAATAGTAAAAAGCAAGTTGTGGAGTCAAGTTGTGAAGCCTGAAACCAAAATAGTACTGTATTGTATGCTCTATATGACCTGTCATTAACTCTCATTCTCTAATTTGTGTCATTATTTGAGGTGAAGGTAGGCTATACTGTCAAGATTTTCGATGGGAGTAGACATTTTTCAGAGTTTGGCTTGTTCAGTCATGCTAGTCTGGGTAGCTGAAAAAAGGAGGCCATAGAAAATTTGAAACAATGACTCTTAATTTTCTCCCACTTCCTCCCTAGCTGAATATCAGCTATTCATAGATTGATTAATGGATATCTGTTTTACTGCTTAGAGATCCTTGAATTATTTAGTTCAGCTAACCAAAATGCCACTTAGAAGCCTATTCTATTAAAAGAAGAAATGTCCAGTCTCCTGATCTTAACATGGAGTCTAATCTATTCATAGCAACTTCCAGGGAGTGGCTAGTAGGCTGGAACTGCCACCCTTGCAGTTAGCAGTCCAGTGCTTATCCTACAGTGCCATACCAGGAGGACTCCATTAAGTATCTCTGAAACCTGAGACCTGCTGCTTCCCCTCCTTCCTTCCTGACTCCACTCCACCAGTACACACCAATGAGAGAACAGATGGTGAAACAGGAGAGCAGATAGAAAATCATGACCAGTGACTTAATGGGTGGTAATAATAACAACAACAAAGATAATAATGATAGCCAATAATTAATATGAAAAATTCCTATTCTCTGAAGAGATGTTGTGGTTCTAGTTCTAAGCTGGTGTGGGGAGAAGACAGTGGGTGATGATTCAATAGGAGATCCTCGCCTTCCATACAGAAGACTCTGGTTTAATTCCTGGCCAGTATGTCAACTGTGCAGCCGCCATCAGCCAGTGGAAGCTTGTGTGCTGCTATGATGCTGAATAGGTTTCAGTAGGACTTTCAGACTAAGACAGAGTAGGAAGAAAGGCGTGGCAATATAGTTCTAAAAATCAGCCAGTGAAAACTCTATGCATCACAACAGTCTAATATGCCACCAATGAAGGAGATGGCACAGGTGTGGGCAGCATTTATTCCATTGTGCATGAGGTTGCAATGAATTGGGGGCCAATTTGATAGCATGTAAAGCCCTCAGCTGACTCATTCTGTGATGCCAACCGCACACCGTGATTGTCTTCTACAGTATAGCTGGATGCTGAAAACTCAAGTCTCCATCCCAGCCCCAGCTCCCAAATCGTCACTTCTCAGGAATGAGATGAGCTTTCTAATTGGAATGAATGGTGCATACTACCTGCTGGCACATGGCAATAGACAGTTTGGTAATAGACACTTTGCCTCTCAGTCTAAGTTGTGGTGACCAAATTGGGAGAGGAAAAAACCCAATAAGGACTAAGATATTTTCAGTTCTTTTGCTTAGGCCAAGGAACTCTGATGGCACTATAGGATAAGCACTGAACTGCTCGCTGCAACACTGGTAGTTCAAACCCACAGCTGAAGCTTTTGACTCTCATAAAAATAAATAGTCTCGGAAACCCTATATAGGGTCACTAGGAGTTGCAATCAATTCGATGGCAGTGGGTGGGTTTCTTAGGCCAGGAGAACTGGTGGTGCTGTGAGTTAAACACTGGACTGCTAACTGCAAGGTTGGTGGTTCAAACCCACCAATCACTCTGCGAGAGGAAGATCTCCAGTCTCAGAAACCCCAAAGAACAGTTCTTTTTGTTCTGAATTGGGTCACGATGAGTTAGAATCAACTCAATGACAGCAGATTTGGTTAGAGTTTGGCTTTGCTTAGGTCAGTCAGAAAGAAAGTCATGTGGCTTTTGGTATTTGCCTTGTAAATATTACCGACTAAGTCTTTCTAAAAATGCACACTTCTTTAAACTTCCTTGAGAAATGTAATTTTTCCTTTAAATGTTTTTTCTGTTTATAGATATAGAATTTTAAAAAGTCTTTGTTTTATTCTGATGTCTCTAGTTTTTAGAGGGAAAGTTGAATTTGATGCATAATTATCTTTTCTATTTTTAATAATACTTATTAAAATATTTAGAAATTACCTTTTTGTTGCGCTTAGTTTTTGTAACTAAGAGGAAATCATCAAATAGAAACAGATAAACATCTAGGACTCTTGTGCTTTCTGAGGAAAGAAAAAGTAAAATAGGTGCTGAAATAGTACATAGCAGATTTTGTGTTTAGTCAAAGAACCCCTTAGAAAAAAAGCCGAATTGTGTTAGGGTCCAGGTTTTCAGAGACCTCTGGTTCTGGGTGAGACAGATGAGTTCAGGGTACACTGATTGCTTCCTAAAATAAAGACTTGAGCACAAGCTTCCAACTTGGAAGAATCCAGTATAACTCGGATAGCACTGGTAATGGTTTTGACTAAACCAAGGAGAAATCTAAGCCAGGATCTGTCAGTGTTTTGCTCTGTTGTGCATAGGGTCCCTATGAGTCAACACCAACTCAATGGTATCTAACAACAACAAGAAGAAGGAAAAAATCCATCAACTAACTCACATTGTTTTTCCTTCTGGACACATCTGATTGGTAACTGGCAAAGGCGCACATTACAAGACAAAAGGCAGTTTATCATTTCATACTGCAGGTAGTGTTCGGGTTATAAAAGGGTTATAACAGGTGCAACAAAGGCTTGGTGATCTAATTCTGAAAAACCAGTCACTGAAAACCCAGTGAAGCACAATTCTCCTCTGGCACACATGGAGTTGCCATGAGTAGGAATTGAATGGCAACTGATTTTACCTAACATATATTAGATTCTCATTGAATGTGTATTGAGTAAAAAATGATTTACCAACAGTTCCCCTCAGATCTCAACCTACCAAAGATAGCCTCACATCCAACAAAACTTCAACCACAGTTGTTGTTGTTGTTATGTGCCATCGAGTCAGTACCAACTCATAGTCACTCTACGTACAACAGAACCAAACACTGCCCAGTCCTGTGTCAGTCTCACAACCGTTGTTACACTGAGCCCATTGCTGCTGCCACTGTGCCAATCCATCTCATTGGGGGTCTTCCTTTTTGTCTCTGACCCTCCATTTTACCATTTATCCAAGGATTGGTCCCTCCTGACAAAATGTCTGAAGTATGAGAGATGAAGTCTGACCATCCTGGCTTCCAGGGAGCATTCTGGCTGCACTTCTTTCAATACAGATCTATTGGTTCTTTTGGCAGTCCATGGTAATTTTAATATTCTCCTCCAACACCATAACTCAAATGCATCAATTCTTCTACGGTCTTCCTTATTCACTGTCCATTTTTCGCATTCATAGGAGATTACTGAAAATACCATGGCTTGGGTCAGGCACACCTTAGCCCTTAAACTGACATGTTTGCTTTTTCTTCAACACTTTAAAGAGGTCTTGTGCAGCAGGTTTGGCTAATGCAATATGTTGTTTGATTTCTTGACTGCTGCTTCCATGAGTGTTGATGGTTAATCTGAGCAAAATGAAGTCTTGGACAACTTCAATCTTCTCTCCATTTATCATGATATTATTTATTAGTGCACTTGTAAGGATTTTTGTTTTTTTTATGTTGAGGTTCAACCCACATTGAAGGCTGTGGTCTCTGATCTTCATCAGTATTTTAAGTCCTCTTCACTTTCAGCAACAAAGTTGAATCATCTGCCTATCGCAGGTTGTTAATGAGCCTTCCTCCAATCCTAACGCCATGTTTTTCTTCATAGAATCCACAGTATGTGCCCGATAAAGATTGGTGCATAACTAAGTGCATGAATGCAAATGCTATTTCAGTTAGACTTCCCTGATTGTCATACTCTTTATTTATTTATTGAGCACTTTAATGTTCTAGATACTCTTCCAGTATTTGTACTTCTAAGTAATAAAGGGGGACAGTGGCCATAACTGGCCCAGGGTTATATAGGCAAGAAAAGGCTGACCTGTTAGCCTCCAGGGCTCACCTTCCGGCTCACATTAGAATGACTCTGCTGTAGCCCCTCCCCTTTAGGTGGCTTCTGCCTTCAAGTCTTTCCTTCTGCTGTCCTCTTCATCTGCAATGTCCTCCTGCCTGTCTTTCCACTGACCTCCATCCTTTCTCATGAGGTACATGA